TGACTTGTCTCCTGTAAGACTTTTGGGATGGCTAAAGCGGAAGACAACATCAGAAAGTGAGAGAAGTGTGGTGTTGTGCTCTTAAAGACCTTGTGTCCCTCAAAGGGCTCATGGAGCCTTGTCCCACTCTCTCCTGGTCAAACCACACATATTTATTCTTAATCATCACAAACTTTCTAAATGTGCAATTGTTATTTAGATTTGTGTAAAAATCAATAAAGAAAAATAACCACAGAAAATTCTGCTATGCCTTGAATCAGCAAAGGAGGCTGAAAGGGAGGTGTTTGCTGATTGCCTAGAGAACAACCCTTTCATCAATGAGATTATACAATGCACCGTTATTAAGAGGTCATTTTTGGTTGTTTTGTTGGGTTTTGGTAATCAAATATAGAACTAAGGCAATAGATGGCTCTCAGATTCTTCTACTATGTCACCATTGTAAGGCAATAATAATAACTTTGTGATTTGTAAATATAGGTTTTAGGCATCATTTGTTTTCCCCTTCCAGTACATTTCTCTTTCTTTCTCTCTCTCTTTCTCTTTCTCTCTTTCTTTCAGTTAAAAAGATGATTTCTAATATTTTCTGTGTCTTTGCATGGTGAGGTGATAGCCTCAGGTGATAAGGCTTAGGTAGGGTTTTCTCACCATGTTTTTGTGCCCACAGTGGAGGCTTCAACATCTTGTGAAATAGTTATCTCTTTGGCAGAAGATGAAAAGGCAGAAATCCAGCTAAGTAACTCTCCACAGCTATACCCAGTCTCCCAAATTCACGAAATACCATATTCAGGTGAAGAGTACAAACAGAAATGGGTGGAACATATCAGAGCAAAACTGAAGATTCTAGAGAAAAATACTGTTAGTGTGCAACCTGTGCAGAGATGCTTACAAAGCAATTTTAGTCAACAAACCCATTGAGAAACAGAATTGTACCATCATTCTCAGCTCACTTGTGTTCAGCTTTTTTGGCCCCAAGATTATATTGTAATTTTTTAAAGAGGAGGTTTTCTTTAATTTCTGCTTTAATGAATGTAAAATATGGCTCTTGGTAAAGTTTACATTGTTGCTTTGAAGCATTTTTTTCCCTTATAGGTATACTGGTGGTGGTGCTACAAACACAGATATTATTTAATATTAGCAAATTCCCTTTCTACATTTCTGTATCCAGTGGCAAGTACTCTGTGCCAGTTATTATGCTTTAAACTTTAATCCCAAGAGAGCAAACGTTCTGATCTTTGAAAATTTACTTGTTTTCCTTGGGCAATAATAAAGTTCTGACTATTATTATGCTTTCCCCATGCTGTAGGTATGTTCAGAATATGAATGTGGGAAAAAAAAAAAAAGCCTGGTGTGACATTTCATCCTTCATAGAATATTAATATATTGTGTATTTTTATAAATGTTTTTCAATAACTTAAATTACACTAGGTATAGTTAAAACAAAGGTGAAAATACCATTCTTCATATAGTGTTCTATCTGCAAAATTATAATAAACCTTAATTCAATGGGAAAGTAAAATACAGTCCCCTCTTAAAATGCACTCCTCTCTTTGTGGATTTCCAGCTTTCATCACCAAGACAGCTGTGTGTAAATTTTCGTAACAATCTTAGTTACCAGTACTTATGTCATACACAGTATGTCCACTAAAATATAGACAGACTCAGCTGGCTGCTGTCACCTTTGCTTTTTGCATTAAAAAGTAGTTAATGGAACTGCATTTCTATAAAGAACACAGGTATTGTATTCTGGCCCCAAGGAAAGAAAATCTGATCTTGGATGCTGATTCATGTTCTTCAGCCTCAAAGGCATTCAACAGCTGTTTAGCTTTAATGAGATGCTGAAGCCCTTGTTTTTTCATTTTCAAGAATGTTTCTCTGAAACCACTAAAGGCAACATGCACTCAAGTGCATTTCCACTCTGCCACACTCTTAGTGACGTGATGGATGTTATTCTATCTTTATGCCATTATAGCTGAAATAAGATGAGCCTTTACACCATGAGAAAGAGATTGCTTTAATTTTAGACAAGCTCTTCACTAAAAATAAAATGGGGAGAAAAAGAAGATAGATAAGAAAAAGATCATGAGTAAATAAATGATTAAGTTGGCAAGAGAACTTTAGGTTTCAACCTTGTTGTTTTACTGGATTATATATTAAGTCTTCCTATTGTTATCCATGCAAATCAAAAAAGGGACATCAAAGGGGAAAAAAAAAAAGAAAAAAAGGAAGAGAAGCCTTCTGTAGCAGAGCTTTTTTGAACTTCAAGAATTTTCAAGCCTGTAACAAAGTGTGCCTGTATTAAAAATTTTCCAAATTTTCCTGAGTAACATGAGGTCATTTATGGAATAAAAGTTGTCTTTCCTGACATTCTTATGAGATATTAGCGTGTTTTGGGAGACAGAGAGACAGATCCTTAGCTTGTATGAGTTGTTTGCACTATCTTCTCTTCAGCTAAATCAGGATAATTTATACAGCAAGGACAGGACATGATGTTAATTATTCCTCACATGGGAATACACCATCATAAATCATTTTTGTTTTGTGTTTGTTTAGGTACAGCTCTCTGCGCATCTGCCTGCTGTACATGATACCTTACCCCTGAATGGGAAGTCAGTGGGGCTGTGTGCAGAAAGTGTTGCTCAGAGTGAGCAAAACAACCTGACCTTGGCTCTTTGTGAACTGCCTGTGACAGTGTATTTTTGCATGAATCTTCATAAATCTTTTTAAAAATGTAAACCTATGGTGCAGAATACTTCTTTGCGCAAGGACTTTTTTCCTTGCTTATACTCATGGGTAAACTGAAAACTGCCATATATCAGCTTACTAGCCACACAACTTTAGGCCACTTTACATTAAATTAAAGAGAAAAAGGGAGTTGTTTTTCAAAAAATAATAAACAAGGGTTAAATACTGTTGTCAAATACAAGAGCATAAATCTGGAGTGAACCTACTGAGGTGAATGGATGCATTTGGGAAATATGCAGTATATGTGGGTGCAGAATTTAAGTTTTTAATCTGAAAAGTCTACACTTCATTCCCAGAGTGTCAAATGGTTTCAAACAAATCAGTGAAGCCTAATACTCCCTTCTATGACAGCCAAACTGTGTTTCCATGGTCCTTTGGTGTAAAACTGAATCACAGCCCACATGACACCAGGGTTAATGGGGGACTGGGCTGGCATGCTCATAGGTTAGTTTTCCAAGCCCATGTTGTTTTCTGTTTTCTAGTCGTTCTCCTTTTATCAAAGATCAGGCTGAGTTATTAACTGAAAAAAAAAAAAATCATGTTGGAAAGGATGTAAAACTGAAGGCTATATATGTATATACAGTATGTCTAAAACATTTTATTTTTATATTTTGAATGCTCTAAATTAATAAAAGACAAATTATAAAGCATTTTGCTTTAGTTTTTGAAATTATCTTAGTAGTGTCTTCTCTTTGGCTAAGTACTGATAATGAAATGCAACAAGGAACATTTGCCTTAAACCTGTAAACCTTAACAGAGCTAATGTTATTGATTTTAGCTATGAAGTAGCATAGGTATGAGAAGCCACTGTTGCCAAATTCAGACAAAAAAAAGTTTTATTGAGCATGTCAATACAGGCATCCCTGAGAGTGCTGAAAATGCATTTCTATTTTTCGATTTTTACTGCTTTTCTAATGCGTTAAAAACCCTTGTGAGATGAGACTTCACATGTGAACTGTCATTTTCAAGTAACAATGTAGAAAGATATTTCTTTAGCATTGCTGAGAAACAGGTTTGTATCTCGTTAAGAGGAAGAACAATTAAAGTTAACAGTGTGAATGTAGTATGTGGAGATACAGAAACCTTCAGCAATTGCAAGATATATACTCATTTGACAACAAACCAAGTTATATAATTGGAACACTTTTATAACAGAATAATGTGTAATTTTAAGTTATTGAAAGAGTTCTTTAAAAGAAAATGTAGAATGGCACAACTGCATGAACAGAAACTGTGTTTTCAGTCAGCATAACAGAATTTACTGCATTTTACAGAGATATTTAAAATGTCTAGTAAGAACATGAGGACATCCCTAAAATATTATTTATATTTACAGTGACCGGGAAAAGCAACAATTCTAGCATTATTTTATCTGTGGGAAGGTACATTTCTTTGAGGTGTATGACTAGTTAATTACAACTGCATGTGTGTTATCAGTCTAGAAACTTGTTTCACCATTCCGTGGTGGAAATGAAAGGCTAAAAGGGCAGTCAGGGTGCACTGAGAATTTTTATCACAGGGCAGATGTTTTAGACACAGTATATGAAGGTGGATAAAAAACTCACAGTAAAACTTCATAGGCCTGAAATTACATTTTTCTGTTCATTTCTTTACTCATTTCTTCTGAGTCCCATGTTGTTTTGCATTTTTTACATAACCTGATTTAGACTAATTATTTTCAGTATCTTCTGTGGCCTGAATGAGATTTCTACAATATATATGGCTAAAAAGAAGCAGGACATTTAATGGTATGTGTATTTTTAAGGTTCTGGCCATCCTTTTCCTATCAAAACCCCAACAACTTAAGAAGATCTTCTATGACTGCTGAAATCACACTGGGCTGAACTGGAACTGAACCCAAGATTACTCAAGAGCTGCAGAGTACGGGTCATGTTCTTAATGTGGAGTTAATGGAGCTGTCAGCTTAGTATCTGGTCCCCCAGGATTATTAATTTTTTCCCTGAAAATCCCCTGAAAGTTATTATCTTGTCATTTCAGTTGAAACTTTTAAAAAAGTGTATAGCTACATAGGATGAGTCTCTGTCAAAAATTCCTTTAAAAATTAATTTTTTCCTATGTCTCTTTTATATTTTCTTTTGATTCAGCAAAACAATTACAAATGTCAACAAAGCTATTTATTTATGCACTTACAGAAAAGCATGTGCTTAAATGTTTTCTTGAATCATGGCCTGAAGACCAACTTTGCTTTGAACTTATTAACATCAGTGCAATCTGAGGGCATTCAATATCATAACAGATAAGAATCACTTTTACTTTATTGAAGTATATTTTAGAATGCACATAATTTTAAAGAGTACATTTTTCAGAAGTGCTACTTGTGATTAACTGTGTCCTGAAGCCATGCATAAACGTATTCGTAAACCAGAAGCATCACTGCACCACCTGGAAGAAAAGATAATATTTTACTACATAGAAAATCCAGTATTTTCAAGATTTCATAGGGCATGTGTAGTGTGCAATATAAACCAGGATACAGCAAAGCCTTATTTGAAAAATGGATAATTCTACTAATTCCTTAGTACATTAAAAAGTCACCAATTCTTAAACAATACCAATTTTACTTAATATTGGACCATAAAGTTGATGTAAGTAGTTTTATATTAAATCAAATTCACTTTTTGTGTGATTTTTCCTAAAATTTTTGGAAGATTAAAATTTTTCTTTGTTCTTCTACAAGTGAAACTTTTAATCCAAATATGTATATATTTTTGTGTTTGCTTAGTTAGATTTGGCCATGAAAGAGCAACCTGACAGGTAGAATGACAAAAATTCATCACCAGGGATGAGAGAATGAGGCTGTATGAGTAAAAGTGTATTAATTGTGGGTTCCAGCACTGGGACATAAATCCTTTGCCTGTTGGCTCAGCTGGTGGCTTGGAGTGGCACCTCAGTCTTCTGCTGAACTGGGCTCACCTTTCTAGGGATAAGCTAAAGCAAACAGGCACACAGAACTACCACATGAGTTTTCCCACATCATTTACCCTAAGGAACCATCATCAGACTTGAAATCCTCTATGAACAGGAACTCACAGACAGCTAGACAGAGCAGAAATTTGCAAAAGGCTTTGACCAGCAAACAAATCATAGACACAATGTCTAAGATTTGATTTGAACTCAAATTGAGGCTGATTCCAATTCTCATACTGTGTAATCTGTTTGCATATCTCTTTTTCTGTAAGCACTCACATTCTGAAACTACCTTTCCAGTCACAATAAGTGTTTCATTGGAAAGTCAAATCTATATATTAGTCAATGGGACTACAAAAGTATTTAGAACAAAGTTCACACTTAACTGACTTCCTGGATCTGGGCCAGAATGCATAGTCATTTGTAAGATGGAAAATTTTATTCCAAAATCTACTGTGCTAAAAGCTACTGGGAAAGCAAACCCTTACCTTCTCTTTGTCCTGTATGCAATCTAGTATCTTTGCAGTGTCAGGAAAAAGGCTTTTAGCTCCAGAGCTCCTTTTTTTCCCATCCCCACCTTCTTCCTTACACTGCACAACAACCAGGCATGGTCTAGCGCTTAGCCAGATGGATTGGATATGCAAACATTTACAGGCAAACCTAATGCCTCCTTTATACTGCAGAACAGACTCTGTACCTACTTGCTTTTACCCATGTGTGTTCTTGTCTATTAAACCAACTTGCACAATTGGAAAGAATTTCATGGGAATAGGATACTGTTCAAACTGAGGCTTCTGCTCTTTTCGACAGAGACTGCCTCTGTGAACTGGCAAAATCAAATCTAAGGGCCCTGTGCTTTGCTTTCATGATTAATCAAAACCAGCCAGGGAAAAATATTCTAAAAGTTAAAGAAGATGTAACAAGTAGTGAGAAGGCGTCAAAAAGCAACACCAGTTCTAAAATATCCTTGTCCTCTTAGTGTTCCAGGCCAAACAAGTCTCTTCCCAGCTATCAGCTATCAGCTTTTTGGTGTTTGTTCTTTACATGCAAAGCACAAGAGAAGAAGAAAGTAACTGGAATTTGATATACTTGGGCTATGCTTCGAATAGTTGAGTGTATTTGTACTGGAGAGACTTTAACTGGCATTTTAGGGTGACTTCACATAGATACGGAATTGTCCTAGTGAAATCAAAAGATCACATTAGAAGGAATAGGAAGCTTTAAGAAGCTTCCAAAAGTTTTACAGTTCTGGTATTCGCATAGATGTACTTAGGCTTGTTCATGAATAAAGGAATTGCAAAAAACAGCAGTTACTTGCATCTTATGTGTATGTGTAAATGATTCTTTTTAGACACATATTTAGATAAATTCATATATCATACTATTAGATGGTGTTATTATTGAAAGAAATCATTCAAAGTGAGAGATTCATGATGGTTTATGGTACACAGTTCCATTTATTTGGCTGATGCTTACTACACTTTCTCAAGAAACTGACAAATGGGAAGAAAAGCAAGAACAAAAGCACATAGAAATGACATAAGGAAAATTACCTGGACCAAGCCTCATGATCTTGGGAAGCAAGCCTTTGTACAGAGCCAGAAATCTGTAGCAGAAGAAAAACAAACAAAATATTTCAGACAATATTCTTGCTCTAAAAGAAGAATGGAACTGTAGCATATGTTTGTTAAAATGCTGGCAGAGCACTTAGAGGCAATTATTTGAAATTAAACATGTTCAATAGCAGGCCATATCTGGATTTTAACATTTTACAGAGGCAGATCAGATGAAGAGAAAAAGTTAATCAATGTTCAGTCACAAAAGCAACGTTGTGAGCCTAACCAATCAGAAATATGACTTTAATCAGTGAGCTGGGTTTACTTTCAAGACAGGTCTGTTAACAACAGCTGCATACAGGGACAAAATGACTGATATAATTGAATATCAAAGCTACAACTCAGTCACCACTTGAGAAATATTTTTTAAAGTTGGAAAACATTATTGCCACAAGGATCTGTCCCCCAATTTAATTATTTCAGCTCTAATTTTAAAGGTACAGAGGCCTGTATAATTACAATTAGATTAAATTGAGAAATATTCTGTTTTCTGTTGGTGTTTTCCTTTTACAAAATGAAGAGCTGAAAAAATTACACACGAGGTATATGAAGTATGTATCTGTTCAATGGAAATTTCGACAACCCAATAATCATATTGTCTCTTGTTAAAGTTCACATATAGTAGGAATATATCTCCTTGTAATTCTAAAATACATTTTCAGAATGTTACATTGAGCTCTTTTGATATGTGAGTTCAGGGCAGCTTAATGGTCCTTGTCAAATTTGAAATGTAACAACATGATTTTATGGACATATATGAACTGCAACAGAGGTCTGGACATTTATTAAAATAAGAATGTTTTACCCTTCCTCTTTATAGACTGTTGCCATAGTTTTAAAACAGGTTCTGTACTTGATCTCTCCAGGAACTGGCTGTGGTCCTTGAATCCTACTTTTTGCAACATCAAAAGGAATGTTAATAATTGAGGCTATTGTTCCCGAGACTAGTCCAATTCCAAATTTCCTCAAAAACTCCAAATTTGGATCCTACAAGAAAAAGAGAGAAAAAAAGAAAGAATAAAAAGAGAAGTGGAAGAACCTGTGCAGGTTAAACACTATAAAGTAATATGCATTTAATCAGAAAACTCACACAACACACTCGTGTTATTTCAGCGGAACACATTAGGATTTCCTATGCTGGAACTTGTTTTCTTGACAATCCTATTGGCTGTGTTTTTACACATGGTCTAAATTGCTGAAGTACACATTTCCTCACACAGGATTTATAAACACAGTTCATAAAGAAAGACTGGTATGGCATATGGGGATGATTTGTATAATTGGGCTTCACAATGTACTTAGTATTACTGTATCAAAACAGGAGAAATCCAAGCACACTATTAGCTAATTGGCCAGAATATTTTACAAATGACAGCAACTTCCACCATGAAGCCTACTAAAACACTCATTTGTGTGTTGGACCCCCAAATGCTAAATTAAATAAAGGCTAATCTCAGTCTGCTGCCATTCCCCTCCAGGTTTTTTACATTTATTTTCACATGTAGCTGATCCACTGTACTGAGAAGTGCTAGCTTCCTGTTATTAACAATCCAACTCGGCACAACGGCAAGAGAGCCTCCACGTTCTGCGCATTATATACGGTGGTAATTCACTCAGTTAATTGGCTGAAGAATTTACAACAGATTGTTTCTGAACCCTACTACACACTCATGGTAAAAGTTAGAAATAGGTTAGAAGTGCATCTAAAGACTTCTTTGCTCACTCACAGTTCACAGTTCAACTGGGTTTTATTTGATCTTTTAGAAAGACCTCCTACCTTGGCATTTCTATGACATCAAAGAACCCAGAGTTTATCTGGGAGACAAAATCTCTTGAAGCAGGTTTAATCCTATTTCTCTAAGTAGTAGAAGTCACAGAGCGGTGTGTTCCAGGACATTTCCTATGCATATAATTTTTTTTTGCTATTAGTTTTCAAAAGGCAGGACACTTTATTCATGAAGGTACTTTAATTACAGAAAATCATCATTAAAATAACAAATGATCTTGCCCTGTTATAACATCAGCACAATATTAAAAACCAACAATTTTTTGTTTCCTAAACCTGAACATTTTTGAATGAAAAAGAAAATAAGAATGAAGTTTTCCTTTCCTGATTAGCAACAAGAAAAATAAATTAAAACTTTCATAATATGCACTGGATGAAATCCGTGCAGGTACTTAGAAAGAAATGTCAAAATCAACAGGGCTCCTTATTACCTGCAGAAAAATTCAGTACCTTGATTTCACAAAATATGATGCATATTGGTTTTAAAAATTATAATGGCTTTTGGTACTGTAGTACTTTATTGGCAAAGATCTAAGCAACAAATTTCTGTTCATTCTGTACATACAGTGGTTTAAATGCAAATAGAATAAAGACAATATTTCTGTTATCTAGAGAAGAAAGGAGGACCCCTTTTGAAACTGGAGGGGAAGCAGCGTGGCAGCCCTGTTTCAGCATGGTGCCTAAGTAGCTTCAGGCAGCAGGCATAGGATTATACTCACATCTGATAGCTAAGTACTATTCCAGACTGTAATAACCTAGTCAAATCAGGCTACAGCAGGGAGGCTACCACTGCTCTGTTGACTTTTCACAGTCCAGAATGATCTGAATTATTTTTGTTATGCAATTCAATTTGGTGCCAAGCATGGTGTGCTGCCCTCTATGCTAAGCAATATAGGTCAGGTAAAGATATTTACTTGTTAAACATCAAATTTCAAGCCTTGCTGCTCCTGACACATTCTTTATATTTGAATGATTGAACACTTAATATTTTTGTGAAATCCCAGTGCCAATGTTGCCTGCTTTATGACTGAGAGTGCCACAGAGTACAGGACACAGTGGGTTAGTTCGATCAAGTGAGTATGTCTTACAACATGACACTGCACTAATACAACTAAAGGGAAATTAAAACAAATTAGTTATTTCTATTCCAGTATTTGTGACAGAAAAAAGTTGAAAGGCAGCATTTTGCTCATTCACAAAACCTGACTCAAACCAAATGCAACATGATATACACTATGTTTGCTTTGTAGCTCGATTTTTTTATTATAAACCTTTTGGGAAAGATTTTTCTATGCCATTAATCACTGTAATATCTGGGTAACTTATTTTGTATAACAGATTCCATATAAATTCATCTCTTAAGAGTAATTAAGTTGTTTTTTTTCTAAAAGCATATCTTAATGGCATTTTACTGTGATAATGCTTTCAATTGAAAAAGAGATTTCCAAACATGATTTCTGCCTCTGCTACAGTGCTTATATGGATGAAGGAACATTGGCTGTCTATCAGGTAGGTGCAAGTTGGTGTTATTATGAAGTAGTTTCTTTCATTTTACACCAAAATCTATCCTTTTTTTGCCCTATGGACAATGCCAAAATATTCCTAACAGTCTAGAATGCTATGGAAGGAGACTTAAGAATAAGGTATCTGTCTAGTCCTAATGCTGCAACTGGCTGGCTGAGGCAGTTATCATCACACTACTGTCACCAACTTCTGCGCTATGCAGCTCAATGATCAAATATTATATGTTTGGTATGTTGTTCATTAGGAAAAAAGATTCTGACATGCTGTTCTTGCTTTCATAAATGGCAGAAATGGAGGAAAAAACATACATGAATTTTGTTTTTAAGCAAAGCCAATTTTTTATGTAGTATGAGCAGATCATATAGAATGGAAACTCTACCGGCTACTTCATTCTCTTGTTTATTTGCTGGGCACTTTGTGAAAACCTTTGTTTAAATCTTTGATCTCAGTCAAAAGTTTCCCAACTATCTTCATCCCTACTGAGGGAAGGTTATTTAATTCAGTAACAGCACAGATATTAATGCAGCAATGAAATAACATGCCTTTGGCAAAGGCATGTTTGCTTGCAACTCAATTACTGTAATTTTTTCAGAATAACTGAAAAATATTTTTATATTAGATAATGACTCACCACACTAGATACATTTTTATAGATTTAGCCACCCATTTTAGCTGCAATCCAGAGATTCAAAGGCAGGACACCACACTCACATATGCAGTGAAGAGAAGTAGGTACCTTCGAAGGAACAGCTCCAAGTCCATTTTTAACTCTTGTAAAAAACAGAGGCCCTTTTCAGTCTGAGTAATAGTGGCAGAATATGCCACAAAGAAACTTAAAATTAAACATTATTTTTAATGAAAAAATCAATAAAACCAAAAGATCAGTAAATATTAATTTGCCTAACTGAAGCTACTTCTAGAAGTTTTTGCTTCAGTTATTCAATGTCTTAACACTTTTTCACTTTTTTCTTTTTTTTTTTCCTCAGTTGCTAGAGGTACATATTTTATGAGAAAGAATTCTTTCATAAATATGTTTTAGTACTTCTGACTACCTTATAGATAAATTCACTATAGAAGACTAATGCTTGCTGGATAAGGAGAATACCAATTCCCAAGAAATCACATGAATAATGCATAATATAATAATAGTATGATGTTTGAAGCTGGCAATTACAAAGCAGTCTACTGAAGTTAGCCCAAACCTAATATGTAGAGTGTAATAGTTGCATTAAGTTTCTTTAACTTCTTTGAAAATATTAACCACAACATTAGCTTTGTAAATGGGTTACACTTGGCACAAAAGTGGCAAAAGTCATTTGAAATGACCACTAAATTTAAAAACACTTGCTCAAGATCACATAAAGGGTCAGCAGAGAAGCCAGGACTGGAGCTGAGAGCCTTTGCACTATATGCTGCAAATTCCACCTCCCTGTGGAGGTGGGATTGACAAGGGAGACTTTAAAAGTCAAGGCTTTGATTTGTCCAACTCTGGTTCTGCCTGGTGTAGCCTGGAGTTACGGAACTGAAGAGGAAGATGAGCCAGGAGCATGGAATAGTGTTGCTTGCTGTCCCTTTTGGCTAATGTAAAGTGTAATAGCATAGGAACTCCTACGGGAAATTAAGAGATGCCACAAGACCTGACCCAGGCCACACTGACTATAATTAAGCATTTGGCAGCAAAACAGGCTGTAAGGAACTGCTTTAGTCAGCCTGATAATTGGTTTTAATCCCTAAAAGGAGCTTCCTGTGGCAACAGACAATGGAAGAAAGGAACACACAGGTCTGGGGAAGAGGAGCTTTCAAGAGAGAGGAGAAAAGGTATATCTAAAGAAAGGTGAGAGAGAGCTCTCAGGAAAGCAACATGGAACAGACGAAAAACTCGAATGAGTTGCTTTTAAGCACAGACACTGAGCTGGAAGCCAGAGGAGAGACAGGGTCCAGGTTTTCCTGCTGAAGCCTAGAAAAGAGCTGGGAAGAAAGGCTGTCAAATTCTACTCTGAGAGTTAGAGGCTGGTACAGATAAGATGTTTTGGAGGTGTGCAAATTCCCAGAATAAATCAGCACTATGTAGACTCATTGCAAGTCTCCAGAAAAGGTGAAAAAGAAAAGATGAAAGTGAATCTCATCATTGTTGTGATAATATCAGGCTTTGATTTTTTTAAAGAATATTCACCCTTTTTGTTTGTGACTTAATCAAGACTTGACCACAGTTAATAAGTGGACTTCTGTTCATTTTATGTATTTACATAGTAAACTTGAAGCAGCTCTCCCCTGTTGAGTCACTCTGCAGATGATCAGATGTTCATAAAATGTTGCAGTTACAAGCAGCTCAGCTTTTCATGGCATCATTTAGAGGCTAACTATGCAGAAAAGGGCACTGAGAAATGGATGTCTTACTGATTACCTCTACATCTGGTACCTTTGTCAGTACTACCCATCTTCAGTCTCAGTTATACAATAATTTAAGAAACGGAAAAAAAGGTGAGTAGCCCCATGAATACCAGACCTAAAGAAGTTTGATATTCTATCAGCCCTTGTGATTGACTGATATTGATGTCTGGAAAGGTGCAAGTCCAGACTAAGGCTTACATGGGCTTTTCCCCATGGAATTCAGTGTTTAATAAGGAGTAAGTTCCCACTGAAAATTTCCCTCAATTGGGGCACTCATAAGGATCTCTCCTCCTTTGACATGATTATTTGTATGTATTATAAAAATGTAGCTATTTTAAGCTTGACTCTCTGCCAATTATGGTTGAACCTTGTTATCAGTTTAAGCATTATGGTAATTTCTGTAGGAAAACAGAAGAAATTAGTGTCTTTTCTTAATATATTTAACTGAAGATTCCTCTCTTTCTACTTCGTATCTGTCTTGCCTACAGAAATACCACAGTGCAGGCATAGCTGAGATAGCAACACACTGTACCCCTTGGGTGCCGACATGTTTTGGTGATGATGACCTGGGCTGAAGTCTTTAAACAGTAGGGGCTGTCATTTCAACAGCCACAGGACACCTCACAGTGAAGGATACTGATCAATGGGTGACTTGTGATGTCATACTGGATACAGAACTGCCACCTTAATTTTTTTTTAATTCCCAGGTCATCCTGAAACCTGAACTTGGATGGTAGCTCTGAGATTATTTAATGACCCATTCTGATTCAGTCTTCATCTAAATCACCTTGTCTTACTATTTCCTCAAGTCTGTAGCACTAAATGCACTTTTCCCTCTCTGTTCCTACACAGAACCTCTACGTTTGCATATATCTGAAAACAACTAAAATGAAATTGTTGTCTACTATTTTAATCATCAATCTGAACAGCCCATTTTGGTTTCCCATTTCTTCTTCTTTGCTTATAGAAGTTTAGAGATCCTTTCTTTTGCAAAATAACACACCACACAGTTCTCGTGGTCTGATGCAGCAGTCCTTGTATCAGGAGGTATCACATTGTAACAGCTGGGGCAGGCAGTGCCCAACTTCAAATGAGTTTTGTAGTTTGCCAGGTTTCAAAGGGGGCTTTTAACAGGCAGTGAGGAAATTTCATATTGTTAAGAAATGTGACAGCCACTTGGAGGTGGCAGTGAGCAAAGGTTTTAATGAAATCAGTGTTTACCATCAAATCTAATTATGATAAAAAATTGAAAAGCAAAAGCTGCTGGATGCCTATAAAATGTGCTATAAAAGCAGGTGCCATAAAACTGAGTGAGACAATATAAATTTGCAGACAAATTTCATTGCTAGGGGAGATGCATAGCTGTTAAAGCTTTATGGTTGATACATTAGTGGCAATTGAAAGAAATTTGGCTTATTCCAATTTCAGTTAACAGAGAACAAGGTTGGCTGTAAATTGTCTGTCTAGCAGAATAGACTGAATGTATGAAAAATTATTCATTATGGACATTTACAACCCATACATGTACTTTATATCACTTGACCATTAAACATACAAGGTTTATTGTTTTTGGCAAAATAAGCTGCAAACATCCCTAATCAGGATGCAAATTTAATGCACAGTTTAGAACTGCTGACAACTAAAATGCTCATTTTACATTTCCTTACATTTTCCACTTAAGGTTACAGATGGTAAACAGCAAGTACATAGTCAAGAGTCAAAATTATTTCACAAGTGGTATTCTTATTTCATAATTTTAATGTATTTTTCAATATTGCAAGACTGGCTTTCAGACTTTCTTATCTGGTAAAATATAGATAAGGAAATGAAATCAAGTGTAATGAAATTAAGTATGTGAGAAATCTTGAGAAGTTACAACTGTTTAATATTTTTCAGACTAACTGCAATCCAGTTTCTACCAAATTCCTTGTAGAGGTTTGATAACTCAGCCTCTAGTACCTGTCCACCGAAAGAAGAGGTTTAAGTTACAGATCACAAATTATTGTTGAATACTACCAGGCACTGAAGTGAAATTCAATGTATTTGAACAGCTGAATATAATGTTGGCTAGAACAAGCCAGATGAGGCCTGATCTATATCCTCTTAAATTCAGGGTAAGATTTGATCTGATTTTAATGAGAGTTTTATCAGAATTATTTGCTATATTTATCTGTACAGAACTGTCTATGGCACTGATGCTAGCTGGCCAAGAGAGTCCTATTAATTTTTTTAGCACTATTAAAAGCTATTACCATTCAAAACATACTGGCTGCATGAAACCAGCCTAGTAGGAATGGTTCCTTGTCTGCACTAGCTCCTAAGCCACACCCAAGAACCGTGTTGGCTGGCCAGGGCCAAAGCTGTGCCAGGGAACATTTATCAGTACAGATGACCATCTTTCAGTGATGCTGCTGAATTAACTAGCACAGACGTGGCCACTGTGCAAACTGCTATACAAACCACTTTGCATTGGTCAAGCACATGGCAAACCTCTGCACTTATCTGCAGCTAATGCAATCTAATCCCACATGGATTAAATTGCCTTTTGTTTTTGCTAGTATTTGAGGACATCTGGGCCACTGCCTGAGAACACTGAAGTAATTTCTTTTTTGTTTTCTACATGTATTTAAACCTACGTTGTATTGTTAAAATTTTTCTACATGATACAAAATCTGTATGAAGTGTTAATTTCTTTTAGATCATAAAGCTCTGAATCTTTCTAATAATGTAATAATTGTTTCTTATTTTTTTAAATCTGAAAGGCTAGAAAAGCATACTTAGGCCAAATACTGCTACTATTCTTCAATTGTTATGGAAGGACATTTCAGGATTCCCATACGAGTTGCACATAAATCTTTGTCATTACCTGCATATTATTCAGAATCTTCTGCAATAGTGATTATAATTTTTCATTGCTTGATCAACACAAACGTGTTTACTGCTATCTTAGTATCAAGCTATGCTTGTGCCTTGAGCTTTTAGAATGTGTGATTTAAGTACACTGCAAAGTATGTTTAAATACTCTAAAAGAAACTTGTAGAAACTTGTGGGTCAGCTGGTCTTGAACAATTCAGTTTGCTGTAATGATCTGAAACTAAGAAGTGGAGCTTTTCTCCATTTACACAATGTTGCCAACAAAAATACCAGGCTACTCAGAAGTGCAGAAAAAAAGAGGTGTTACTTCATCTGGGAATAGAAACTGATCCCTTTTGATCTAAATTGCAGCTTCTTATATGTATATCACTGCATATTATACCTGTGACTGTTTAACTGTCATCATCCAAAAATCACATTAGTGAAAACACATTTCAGTAATTAATGTACTGAAATCATTAATAAACCATTAGGTGTTGCAAATAGAGTAATTTAGAAAGTTGCTGATACTACCACATTTTCATTAGTAAATTTTCCCTTTATTGTATAGGGAAGTATTTTTTTTGTTATTTAAAGAAATATAGGACTATCAAAGTTGTTTTAAACTAAATCAAAGCTATAGCAATTCTTATTTTTAGACTTATAAATTACATAAAGTCCCTGTGCATGACCCTGTATGTCCTGTTTTGGCCTGTCTCTCTCCCGTATGGAATAATCTTCCCACTCATCTGTCAGCACAAGGTTGAACTCTCTTTTGAGTAAAAAAGCCCTTTACCCAGCCAGAATCACCTACCTACTGCAGCTCTGCAATTTTCTCAAGCTTAGCCTCTTTTTGAATACTGAAAGAACTTCTAGAAACTGATTTTCCCCTTCTAATCCAGTTTGCCACAAAAAAGTGCATACGTACTCAACCATAACATGCCTCTACTTCAATTGCTGCCTTTTCACATTGGTCTCATGGTACAAAGGGAAATTCATAAAAATGATAATTCCAACATGACTATACTCAGCTTTTCTTAAAAAGTGAGAAGTACAAGACCTTCATTTGCTTCCATTAAAATGCTATAGATTTCTGCAAAACAAAGCTAGGTTAGTCACTATTTATTACTAAATACCACAGCTTTACACAGAAAAATACAGTGTTAATTAAAACGCCAAGCCTCTTATCTGATTGTCTATTGCTTTGTATGAAGAACTTACTTTATTAACAGGAAGAATGTTTTTCATATTGAAGTAGAACCCGAAGTAAACCATGTTAAAAACTCCATGACGGCCCAGCGTTGCTGTAAGACCTTTGTTGAGACCTTGGAAGCCCAGACCATCGGTTTTAATGATCTGCCGAGCTTGAACAAAGCTAGATGGTTGCTACACAAGTTAAGAAAAGACAGAAGAGATCATCTTTACAAAAAGAAGACAGTAAACATAGCAGCATTTCCATCTTGTTGGCACAATGTTGCCAATTCTTGTAATTTTATCTTGTCTCACCATATTAGATACTTTTTCTTTCCTGTGACCACATAAAACTCACAACTTTAATAAAAAAAAGATTACTCATTTTTCTGATTGCAAAACAAGAAGAAAGTATGACTTGAGTACTGTAAAAGACTAAGGATCCTGAAAACAAAAAAGGTATTTAAATAATAATTCAAAAAATACATAGAGCAACATGTAGCTTTGTGTGAATTTTGCAATAGGGTTTTTTTGTTTATCATTGATGCTGTGTTGTTAAGATTACAACAGATGAAACCCTTACACAGTTGAGGTATATAACAATTATTCTGGACAACAAGAAGATAAAAAGCTTCTCTAGTAAAATCAATGGCCAGGAATATGATGAGAGAGTGATAAAAGTGATAGAATTAGAACTGGAATTTTTTTAGCCATTATGGCTACAGAAGAAAGTCCTTAAGAGCCACAAATTGGAGCAGCAAGGGAGGCTATAAAATATTTGTGTTGAAGATCAGTTTGGCAGTTCCAGATTCAATGTTATGAATAGGGTTGAAAGGGTGACAAAATCCATATATATTATCTGGGAATTCTTCATGATCCTCTGAGATGCTTCATACTCTTCAGGATGCAAACCATTGCTTTAAGACACTGACTTTTTAAGGGGTTATTGGGTACACAGCTCATTTTTAAATCTTGGAAATATTGAAAAGAAGATTTGTTTGTTTGTTTGTTTGTAACTTTTCCTAAGCATCCAACTGGAAAACCTGTTTTGCCCTTCTAATGAATTATTTGACTTAAAACTGTACTTAGGTTTTGAAAATCAGAGCACCCATTATAATTCTAAGGTACAGATTTAGGAAGCTGCCTTTAGAAATCCCATTTTGAAAATAATACCCAAAAGGCACAGAAATCGTTTCTTCAAAATTGCTTTCTCCAAAGCATAAAGCCAGCTCCCGGTAACCAAATATATAATTAGAAAGGCAAAATGTAACTTCCACTAGGAGGTTCAAACATGAAAATATAGAAAAACTTTGACTGCAACGCTGTGAACACTGCTAATTTCAATAAATTTATTTGTTTAATAGCTTTCCATTTCAAAATATCACTGTGGTAGAATCAACAGCATCGGCCAAATGATGCCTATTATATCTGACACAGCATATAGCTGCTTATTTAGTCACAAGTTTAGTCTTTAATACTATTTCACTCTAGTTTTTCATATTTCATAGCTAATGTTATCCTAGCTAATGTTAACATAGTTAATGTAGAACATTAACATTTTACTATAATTTACCTTTTAACTACTCCCAAGGATTCAAGTCAGAATCTGTTATACTCAACATAGAAAATTGTCCAGATACTAGCAATAACATCCTTTCTCATGCACAAATAATGGAGATTAGATTTTAAAAAATAACTAGTGGTGCTGTTTAAAGTGATTTAAGCTAAATACAGCAACCTTCAATAGTAAGGTATCCCTTGGTATCCCTTATCATGAATACGAATTTGCTAATGACTCAGAGGGGAAGCCTGTCAGTTGATGAACACCTGAGATGGGGTTCATTAGTCCAAATGGAGAGACCTGCAATGTCTACATATGACTTCCCTTTTCAGTCCTTTAGTAACAAAGAGGGCTTTCTTAGACAGCACTTCACTGTTACAAAGTAGGCATCCTCATGTCAGGTGATCAAACCATAGAAGGGCTGTGGTTCATCATCGATGATGGGAGGACCTTAGATGGAGAAATTTATTGTATAAACATATGGAGTTAATTCACTTCACACAACTGTTGACTTTTACTCAGTACAGACCTAGTCAATGGAATCTGGAGCCACATTCTTCTCATCATAAAGAAGAAACTTGTATTTGTTTAATTAATCACAACTCTTAAGTCAGGTGAGAAGATTTTAATCATCACACCAGTTTCTATAGCCAGTGAATCATGCAGGGCTACAGAGAAAAAGGAAAAAAAAAAAAAAGGAAAACCAAACAACGAGGTATTGGGCCTTTTTGCAATTTAATTTAACAAAAAGGCACAACTATTTTTACCCGTAGCAATCCACATTACAGAAATGCTGATATGTGATTTATAGTGGCCTTCATCTTTAAATCTATCAACCCTCGAAAGATGATCTGGTAGCACAGAACAATTCAGCTGTCACCAAAGGGTGTGAATATTTGCTTTGGGGGTGTGCAGGAGTATGGGTGTGAGTCTATGTGTTCATACTCTTCCTTGTTCCTTTTAAACAAGAAATATTTATTATTTCAATACAATAGTCAAAGAAATATGTGAACTGCATTAGGTTTCATCATGTAGTATGAAAGCTCCACAAAGGGATAGGTACACACTTTACTTTAACCTTTTAGAAAAACAGTGCATGGTAATGAAATGTGTGTACCATTGCCTTACACTGTACAGTATAACCTCTGGACATGCTTCTTCCAACAGGCTTGAGTTTACATGCTTTAGCATGGAATGTTCTTCAACACATTCTTAATGAGAACTTGAGACTGTGGTAATAAAGTCACTGGAGCTTTTTTTAATTCACAGTAAATTTTGAAATTCTAGCACTTTTAGAAAGACATATTAAAAATTATAATGTCTATGATTAAACTATCATTGTGATTTCAGAACTTAATTTCCCTTGGATTTTTTCACTAGGGCAAATAGTTTATATTTTAGATGTAAACTAGGTTCCTAGTGGAGTCTGAATAGCATTCTTTCACAATATTATTTGTATGATAATATACTAATATTTGGATTTTGTGAAAATTTGCATTTAAATTAAATTAAAAAATATTCACCTAAAACAAAAGAACTCAGAATGCTTTTAGACAGCTACAAGGTGATTATTGGAGTATTTGGAAAGTCACCAAGGGATACTGTAACTAAAGTAAGTAATTGCATAATATTTACTAACTAAAACTCTAACCCCAACCCCAGACTTTGTTATGGATTTTGCAGAAGAGAAGAAAATTAAAATGTATGAAGTGAAAGGATATATAGGTCTTTTGCAACTTTAAAGGGAATAGTTTGCTCAAAATATAATACTGGTGTTTTTATACTCAAAAGTAGAGGTTTTATAGACCTAAAGATAGGTCAATTACATCTTCACAACTGTGAGGCAGAAAGATCCAGAATATATGCTTAGTTTACCACTACTGGAGTAGTAGTAGTTCATAATTTTTATCATATCACCTTCCTGAGAGAGAGATCCTCTCACACATTGCTTTTTCCCACTTTCTCTCCTTACAGGATCCTAAACTTTTTATCCTATACTTTACCTATCTGCTTCAGTGGCTTTACTGCCTAAGGTTAAAAACTGCCTAGACTGGAGACATGCAGCAAACAAACATCTCTTTCACATGCATTGTGAATAGAACAGAAGTTTACCAAACACTTTAAGAATTATTCTGGAAGAGCATACTCTGGAAGTGAGTAAGTACCAGCTAGACTATGACATGTGGAAATCAGTGGTTGTATTTTTCCAGAGTGTACCTGAGGAGCTTGGCCTAAACAGATTATGTAAATGGCCAAGTGATAAATCTCTTTACTGTGCATTCCCTGAAAGGGTTCAATTTATGCAGATGAGTGCTAGAAGGCATGTAAGTATTAACTCAGTCAAAACTTAATAGTAGAATATGCAAAAATAATGCCTCACCAGGTACTCAGCCAACCATTTTATGACATGCTTATGTGATTTGGCTCCTCTACCATGGTACAGCTGACTTGTCAAACGATTTTGCAAAAGCTGATATGACAATTGTTAGTCTTATTCACTGAGAAAAGAAAGAGGAAACTGTGTTCCTGCCTTCCTTCACTTTAGCCTGGAACATTAGAAGCTGGTGCTTTCCTGGGAACACATGATTTTGATGAATCACTGTTTTCCAGTTTAAACTTTTTCCCCTTTCAGCAATACCCAGAACCATGGACAAAGTTAGTTTTGCATGCTGACTTCTTTGGAAAAATAGTATTTGAATAATAAAACTGAAATGAAGCAAAAATTTAAATTAGCAATGTTCTTTATGTATAACAATTTTCCAGTTTGTTCTAATAAATGCTAAGTCTTATAAATATTTTCCTCCAAGAAATATAGCATAAAATACACCAGGTGGAATCTGGATAGGACACAGGGCCATGGTGTTTTGCTCTAACCTTCAGTGGTCACTTGAAGTCTGGACCTTGCTGGGGTAAATGCACTTTCTACAAGGGGCTCAGGTTTGTACTTCTGCATTACCATTCCTCACAGTGCAGGGTTGCTGGCTGCTCTGGAGGGATGAAGGTGCACTTCAGGCACAGAACATTTACAGTGGAGATGCTGACGCCTCTGACAATACTGTGTGCATCTCTGCATATCTGAATGCATCATCTATTGAATCTCTTTCCATTTCTGTTAAGCTTGTGGGAACACCATTTGCATTAACCCAATATATTATAGAAATTCTAAATATGAACCTTGAAGTGCATTATGCAGAAAAAGGAGAATGAAGCAATTTCCATACCTCTTTGAAGGCATTCTGATTGGCCTGTAAGGTAACCTTTACTACTTCAAAGGGGTTAACCACAACTGCCTCTGTCAACCCAGATCCCAAGCCAGCAACTGCAAATGCCTAAGAAAGTTAAAATGACAGTTAAAAATTAAAGGAGTAAGACTTACCCTACATCAGCTTATGAAACAGAATGATACAATGCAAACGGCAAGATTACAGTAATGCAGCGGTATTCTATTGCTAAACAACTTTAGCCCTTGAATAGATGCTGACAGTTCATGAGGACAATACGACAATAGCCATAAACCAGATTTCAAAAAAGACAAAATGTCACAGAACTGTCCATGAATTCTCTTTTCATCTGGAAGGAAAAATATGGTACCAAATTTTTACAAAAGCATGGAAAAAGAATGCCCTCTTGTTATCTTCGGGTGGAGTCTGAATAATAACACAAATACAGATGCAGTTATGCAGGACTGGAAAAAGTAAAATCTCTGAACTGAGCATTAAGCACATAACACTAACATACTAACTTAAAAATAAATGTAAGAAGTTAAAATAATCCAACAGTACTTAAGCAAATTGCACAAGTAGAAGTAAAGTTCACCTAGATAAATATCAATATTAGAATGGTTTATGTGGGAATGAGTGGCATACAGAGAAATGTCTGTATTCACTGCAAGGATGAATTAATTTCATTTATTTAAAAGCTGATGGTACATTTCAGCCATAGGTATGGAGATACTCACTGCTTTACTTTACATCATGGCACAGCATTTCAAAATACCTTTGTTTGTAACAAAAAATAGTATTAAAATACTGAAGTCATTAGAGAAAATTCAGAGGGATTAAATTTAATGATCATGTTACACATTTATTGCTTCTGCTTAACATCCCCAAATTCTGTCGTGGTTGAAAAAAGTCCCAGGACTAAAATACAATATAATGGGTACATTTGCTGAAATTCAAAGAAACCAATGGAAAGGAAAAAACAATAGTGAGAATAAACTTACTTAAAATAGAACAGTATGAGCAGGGACTCTTGAATGGTCAAGAAAAGGACTAATGGAAAGTTAGAAGGGTAGTGGCAAACACTAGCCTTACTGCCTTTGGAGGAAACTATGTTATTATCAAATCTACTTTTCCAGTGAGATAAGAACCTTTCATCATGATCTGAGGCCAGCAGCAGCATGGTGTTAATGTATGCATCTCTCTTTTAACAATAAATGTTGCCTTGATATGAGGTCTGTTGAGCTACCTAGAAACATTCTGCCTAGTTTAGACCAGAACCCCTCTCAGTCTTTTTTTTCCCTCACTACCGTGGCTACCTTAGGGTCAAAAATGCCTCTGTGGTAACAGTACTACATCAAAAATATCAGGGGTGTTGGATGGTTGTTGTGTCTGTTATAAGCATCAAACAGATTTATAGACCAGTCATTGCATACTTACAAGTTTTCGGCATATTTCCCCCCCCACCCTGGGCCAGAATGGTACTGGGGTACTACAGAACCTTAAGCTCTCTTCTTTCCACTCACTAGAGAACAAATATCAGTCTTTCTATTTACATCTAAGGATGAGACAAACCTGCTGAAAAATACCAGATAAAATAGGAGAGACTATAAACAGCTATACATTCAGTGGAATTAGTAAGAGGAAGAGGAAACTTGCTTTAAACTAATTAATATAATTCTATGACCATTCACTCACAGCAATGAAAGGCAGATGTAAATGGAAGTAATAGTGTTTGAAAGAGACATGAAATAACCAAAACCTTTATAGCATAACCATGAAAATATAGTTTCATACAGTTGTGATGCCATTTTTGTGAAAAATAGATATTTATTATGATTTACATTCTTGCACCTCAGGAAACAGAAGTTCTTAGAAAAAGTATTTTTCTCCAAATGGTACAATAGCAGAATAAAGCTCTACATACAGAAATGCAGATTACACATGCAAGCTACATCTTAGCATGAAAGCCTTTCTGTGTGTATTTATGTCCTGTATTTTGTTTTTAAAGCAATTATGTTCTTGAGATGAATTCCTATCTCCACTGATATGTAAGAGAGTTTTGCCATTGACTTCAAAGGATGTAGCAATTTCGTATCAATAACTTATGTTTATGTTAGAAAGTCTATAGAATAAGACTGAGATCTGTATTTTTGTTATAGTTGCACTACGCCTTGCAGAATAACACTTTGAGGTCGAACTATCAAACTAGTTGCTATCACATGAATAAAAAAATATTGACAATGTTCAACTTTTTCATTATTTTGCAAGAATTAAGAATGACAAGCTGCATACAGAGTTTTTCATGCTGACTGCTGTTATCCATATTAATAAATTTTATGACATTGTAGGGAATTATTTTGAAGACATTTGACATAAAAATTCATGCATTTATTATTTTGTTAAATACTTTATCAATGCTTTTGAGGGACAAGCCTGTTCTGAAAAACTGTTGATTGAAGTGGACTCTTTAATTTTGGGCTTCTTCCAAGAGAGAAAGCAGATGAGACTATTCAGTATACACATATTAAATTAGAACATGAAGTTCTGTATCTATACATACCAGTCCTGGAGGTAATGATGCATATCCTAGTAGCTTCCTGTACTGTTCAAAGGTGAAAAACTGTAAATAAAAGTTAGACTGAAATTGCAATGAAAAAAATTATGACTTATATGCATACTTATGTATATTAGTAAAAATCAAACTACAATGGAGCTTCACTGCCTTGTACCCTGAGCAGTTGCATGCAGTTCTGCAAAACAAACATTTGCAACTTTTGTTTCACACTCTCCATAGCAGTGCAATAGTAAACAATCAGGCTTATATATAAGTATGTCATTTATAATATAAGTATGTCATTTACAATAGCAGCATAAATGTATGTCATTTATAAGTATGTCATTTACAATAGCAGCATAAATGCAATTGAAGTAATGTTTTATGTAAGAGTTTGCTTACAACACATACATCATATTTTCAATTTATAAACTTTTCCTTTAGCATTTAACTTTCATATACTGGTATAAATGTAGTAGCAGTTACTATAATCTTTCCCAAGAAATCACCCCCACATCTTTAATATAATATACTGCCATCACTTTCGCATGTCTAAAACACTAGTCTACTGCTCATCAGAGAGATATAATTGTAGATTTTGAAGATGTAAAATCTGTAGATTTTTATAATCTTCTGCTGTCACCAGACACATCTCATTTAGTTTTTTCTCTTTACAAATAATTCTTTCAGCCAATTGTCTGCTTTCAAAAAGTGGTGCTTAGAAGCCCTGATCATTTGCAATTCCTTAGAGGATGAGTTTTGAAAGCTGCACTCTTGAGTGTTTGAACTTCAAGAAAGAAATGAGAACAGCTTCACCTGCATGGCAAATGGTAACCCTTTTTACATGGTTTACTTTTCAACCCTGTACTTCTTGCGACCCAAAGCCATTACTTTTCAGAATGCCTTTTATGAATTCTAAAAATCAAAGCAGAATAAATTAATGGATTTATTCTTCCAAGAACAAATGACTCAATGGTGTTGAGAATAAATGACTGCACCAAAGTCAGCAAGAAACTTCCTGTTGGCATAGTCAGACAGACTTTGCTGCCTATTTCCTTGTCTGTGGACACAAAGTTGAAGGTGCATGAGTCAAGGTATACTCTAAAGAAAGAGTATGTGTGACATATTACAAAGTATTGGTAAGATGCCCTCTGAAATGGAGCACATACTCTAGGATAAATTTATTCTTGTTTAGTTTAGCGAAAGAAAGGCTACAAGAGAATGAAAACCAAGGAAAGATATGTAACATTAAGTAATTGGTATAAAAGTAAAAAATACTCAAAACCAGAATGTGTCTTGAGATCTGATGAAGCTTTCTTATAACCAGAGGAGTGGGGTCTTGAATCAATCTTCCACTTACTTAGAGCAGTGGGAAGGGAATCTTAATGACTTGTGAGGGAAAGTATGATAAGTTTATGAAGAAGATTGTAGAACAAACCCCATAGTGTTTCAAATTCATATTCTGCAAATCTGTTGCTGAAGCCACTGAAAAAACACTTCAGGTTGATGACAGTTCTGGGGGCAGTGAAAATGATTTTCCATCACAAGGAATGAGGACAGCAAAAAATCTTGTAGGTTATAAAGAGTAGGTATCTGAATTCTGGGTAAAACCCAAAGATATCATAGGTGTTATTACACATAATTTTCATACATGGAACAACACAAGGCTTGTAACTACAGCTCACTATTTGTGAGTCCTGTAATCTGTCCAAGAAGTATTCATGTCTTTGCATGAAAAAAAGTGGCTTTTACTCAGTATGTCCAGTAATATAGCAATGAACAACAAAAACCTGTCACAGTTTCACCAAGACTGCATTAGTGCAAGAGTTGACACATCCTGGTATAGCAGAAGTAAATAAATAGAACCTCTGACTTTCCTGACTAGTTTCAAAAGCTGAACTATAACACTTGATTAGTTCAGAGTAGGTTGATTCAAAGGAAGGTGGGATCCTCTGAAAGTCTGTGCATTTCATGTGTGCACAGGAGGCTGTGATCCCTCCATTTATCACCTGCCCATGCATGAGACAATCCAACTGTTTCACCACAAGAGGAAGGCAATGGGCAGTGAGGTCAGTGGAGATGTGGGAATCATAAGAAACAAAAGGAAATAGAGTTTTTAAGACAAAACAGAAAGACTAGGTGACCTATTCTGGGTCTCAGCCAAAGAAGACAAGCTTTGTCCCTCAGAATTTAGTTACTACAGACCAATCAGAACAAAACAGCTCTTCCACAAACCACATGTCCAGGAACATGAATAATAAGCACCACATTTTCATTTTAACTTGTTTAGAACCTTGTCCTATGACAAAGTCAATAACATTTTTCTATCAAGACCTGCTTCAAATGAAGTCACTGGAATCACACCAAAACTATCAGAGAATTAGGTGTTAATGTGTTAATAATGCCAATGATTTAAAGCAGAAGGGAATATATATTCATAATAACACAAAATTAGGGTGTTAGATTCTGAAAACTGAAAGGCTGATACTCTGGTCAGTGAATAGATACTTTTTTATACCCTCAGAAGGGATTATTATATAATTTTGCAAAAAAGATCCTAGAACTGGGGCCCAGATTTTAACTGTTTTCCAAATAGTGTAAGATTGAACATTTAGCTTGCAAACATCCGCAAATATGTTTAAAATTGTTGCACCAATCTTGACATTAATCAGAAGAGATAGAAATGTACTTAAACTGTAGGTCTATTTTTTTTAGCAACTGAAGATATTTTATAGGTAAAAGGAAGTCTCTGACAAAGTGGGTGGGTAAGCTGCTTCACTGAACTAAATTAATTTCTTATTGTGATAAAGTTTGCTTTATTCTCTCTCCAGAATCTTTCTAGTCATTGTTACCCTCCTAACCTTCAGCGGAATTTCTGGTATTCCTTAATGTTTTCCATAGCCTTGCAGATCTGTAAAACAGTTGTAATAAAGGCAGAAGAACATTACCTAGCAATTTTTTGGTCTTTAAAATGTTACCTTTAAAAATCAATAACTTCCTAGAGTCATAAATTAAATAACTACTTAATAGTAACTATCTTTTACATAAATTTAAAAGAACCCAAATCAATAGCAATAAAACTCAATATAAATGCTGCTGTGTGTACTAGGCAGGCTAGTAAACATACAATTTTGTCCCCAAAAAATCTTACTGTATCAGAAGAATTTATATAATGTGTCCACCCAAAACATTTTGAAAAACACAGCAGCATTTCCTCTTTTCCTCTACAGTTGTTAATAGCTTTGTGCAAAACAAAAAAAAAAAAAAAAAAGAAAAAAATTCTCAGAATAAATGCATTTAAAACATACTTTTGTGTATATAATAACCAATATTGTCCATCTGGCAAAGATATACTTTAATTGAAGTTACACAGAAAATAGCCAAAGTACTTACCAGATGTCTCAATAACTCTAAGGTAAAAATACATGCTTGAAACAAGATGTCTGGGAACACATGAACAATATAAATTTGCCCCAAAAGTTCATCTGTTAACCATTGTATTGGCATGATCATTTCTTTGCTCCAAGTTCAATCTAACAGAAAGTTATAAACTTTGACTTTTCATCTTCCAGAAATACCAGCTTTCTTTTTAGGAGGGAAATAAAAGGAGAGAAAAAAAGAAATAGCAAGACAAACATGAGAATAGAGTTCACTAAAAATGAAGCTGTATCTTCAACACTTAACTGGAAAACCGGGGCTAAATAACTTCGTTTTAGTAGCTGTATTTTTATTTGCAAATATACACACCAGATAAATCCAAGGTTCCAGTAGCACAGGTACATTTCTTCTTAGTACAAAAGCTCCCTTTTCCATTCTCTATACACTTTTATGACACTGTAACTAGACATTTTCCAAAAAGTTCATTACGAACACAAAGCAAGACTACTGGAACCTATAAATTGCCTCTCTGCCTTTTGTGCTTTCTCAAGTCTCAAAATCATTGGCCTGATTGTAGTCTTCCTCTAAATCGCACTGGTCAGTTTGGCAGTGGAGAAGGGATAGCTTGAGGCCTGTTAAGATGAGGAAAACTACTAGAAAAATAAAGGGTGGAGAGTGGGCCAAAGGAAGCTGTGACTTTTCCTTTGGGTCATAGCCAAACAAGGTTAGCGGAAATTTGAGACAGGATGGATTCTCTTCAGATCAGAGCATGGGTGCAAACTCCACTTTGGATGTTAGAAATTGAACTGGCATATAAAGTCTCACACTGAATTCCTTCAATATCCAGGTTCTTACAAGGACATTACTGTCCTGCCTTACTCTGTTACTGAATTCTTCTAATGTAGAATACAGCTGATGTCTCAAGGTAACCTAAAGTCATCCTGATGTCCTTGGAATGGCATTAAATTTCAAGGAATAGTGTAAATAATCAAAGAATTAAACTATTTAATTAACACCCCTTCCTCTCTCCCCCCATTTAAACCTGATTCTCATGATTGCATGTCCAAGAGTTAGGTAGAAAGCACCCCACTAAGGGAGCATCAGTAAGACATTAAAGGAACTGTGAGCTTAAGATGTACAAGAGGTTGAGAGAATGAGAGAACTGTCTGTTTAGCCTGGAGAGAAGAAGGCTGAGATGATCTTATTTCTGTCTTCCATCATCTAAGGGTTACACAGAAGACAAAGCTGGGCTTTCTCAGAGGCTGACAACAGGAGCATGAGAGGCAATAGGCAAAAGTTGCAATAGGATAATTTGTATATAATTTGGATTGGATAGAAGGTAAAATTCTTCACAGTGAAAGCAACTAAGAACTGGAGCAGGAGCACAGAGAGGCTGCAATCTCCATCCTTGAATATTTTCACAACTCTACTAGACAAGGTATTTGAACAATGTGATCTAACCATGAAGTCAGCCCTGCTTTGAGCAGGAGGCTCACCAGATGACCACCAGAGATCCCTCCCAAGTTACATCTTTCTATGATTCTATGTTTATATTGAATATTGTGCAGTTTAAGCCAATTTAATCAATTTGAGCAAGAAAAAGTGATTTGAGATTTTTGAATGGCTCAGGAGAAATCAAACCTGGGTTAGTATTTTAACTAAATATATGCTGGGATCTCAAAAGCACAGATTTACTTCTTTCTGTTTCAAAGAAAATGAAAGGGAGAGACTGATGAAACATTACAAGATAAAGAAAACAAGTTATTAGGAATCTTCTAAATATCGTATATCTATTCTTTACTGCCACTTTGCTATTAAATAGGACTTTGTTTTTCTTAGTTTTATTAAATATTTTTGAGGTAGGTGACATATGTCACTTGCATCTAAGATGCCAATTCAAACATGAAGATGATACTACCAGAACTTCTTTAGGATTCTGTTACAAGGTCACATCCTGTCACTTTATACAAATATTATTCTTCTGTAAAGGAATTGGAATGTGAATGATTAATTGCAGACTAAGGACCAGAATCATATGCAACCTTTTAAGAAAGAAACCAAAAAAGAAAGAAAGAAAAATCAAGACGTTCTGTATAATAACTGCTTTTAGACACATTTGGTGTAACTATGGAAACTTCAAAGTTCTGAAGCAAAAGGCAAAGAAACATTTGCTCTTAACACAATTGATGCTTTGATAAATTTAGAACTTTAAGATGACGTGTTTAATAACTAGGTTTTAATTAAAAATGTTTCATGATGACTCAAAAAATTGATGTATTAAAGTATTTTGCTTAGGAATGTTATTAAAATCATGCTCAACAAATCAAAATAAAGGATAATAAAAGGAAATCAGATCAGCATTTGACAGCAAATACACTTTGGTATGCTAACACCTAGTTCAACTGTGAGAGAGTTGGAGTAAAACGTTCTTTGCACAATGAGGAATTGAATCTATTACTGTCTTCAATCTGTTAAAAAGTAAGAGTATGGAGTAGAGTACTCTTTGGAGCACAAGAAAACTCTGGGCAGCATTTCCCACCTACAGATATACTACTTCAAGTTACTGAGTAAGTATTTCTTAGTGGCTTCTTTAATGGCTTTTTGTGTTAATTTATTAAGCTATTAGTTGTTTTGCAAGTTGCTAGGCATTCTCAGTATAAGAAAATATCTAAACTAGAGGAAATTATGAGGTTAAAATAACACTTAAACTATTTTCTTAATTTTTTGACAATATAGAATAATTGCAATTTTTTCCTGTAACATTAGATATACAGGTCAAAAATAGCTTAGCATATAAGATCCTTATCCTGCACTCCTTAATCAAGGATAGTTTTAATTGTACTATCAACAGGAAAGTTCCCTCCTAGTAAAAATCAGAGGATTAATATGCCAAATAAGTTTAAGATTCCAATTTCAATCATCAGGGGATAATTAAAATGGTTTACAGCTGCCACTGTCCCTACTTATATTTTTAAAGGAGGAAGCTTGGGATTTTTACCTTCACCGCCCTTTTGGGTGTCTCAGCCAAGACAGGAGGAAATATTCCTTTGTAGAAGCCAAGTAATCTATCAAATAAAAGAAAAGAAATTATTTTTGTATGGATAAAAACCATATCATTATCATACTGCCAATTTTATTTTCACTTTTGAGTAAAACAACTAAATTTTCAGCATTTTCAGGCATAAAGACAAATAACGATACTCTCTGCTTACTTGCTAAGTAACTAATGTGATACCAATAATACCATGTGCTGGTGAGATGATATAAAGAACTCAGAAATGAATATATAATAATTAAGTCCATTTTTTCTGAGTAGACAAGAAATTTTATTTAAAAGGAGAGGAACAGTTTTGACAATGAAAAGGAAGTATTATTTAATTGTTTTAATTTTCTTGACACAGCAATGATAATATTAAAAACTGAAGTCACAAAATACAGATTTGGAAAAAACTGTGACTCCAGCAAGTTGCACATAAAACCCCTGCATACTCATGTTCAGATGCTAGGGTAAGATGCCTTTTAAAGTTTAGTTTTAACCATGTCTCAAAATGTATGAAGTTTTTTTCTGGTAACTTAGTTTTAACATAAAGTTAGCTATTCACAGAGCCATAACAGAATGTATGTACTTCACCTTGGAAAACACATTTGGGCATTATCTTGCCACTGCAGTCACTCGGGTCTTTGTCCCTCTCTTGGTCTGGCTCTATTAACACCTAAGGATTTTACAGTAGCTGCTGACTTTTGGAGCTGGCCTGAAGCCAAAGGTCTACTTACTGCAACTTCACATAATCTCAGTTTTATATCTATCTATCCATAGATACAGATATACAGCCTGTTGCAAACACACATGGCATTTGCATGCAGCCTGAGCTCTGATTACAAGACCAATAGAGATGCATAATGCTGTGCCTTAGGAATGTTTTAAATGACAGGTTCTCAAAATCCTCATATGAGGTAAAAATAGACGTAGTTCTTGTCTGCTAGGTCTTCACACTAACCTGGATAGTGCATGGGGAGAGTTCAGAAAGGGATCTAATGGAATCACCAAGAAGAATCAAAAAATCATAGAATCATCAAGGTTGTAAGAAACCTTCAAAGTCATCCAGTCCAAGCCAGAACTACCACTGTAATCCCTAAACCGTATCACCCAGTGCCAGATCCAGATGCCTCTTGAACATCTCCAGGGACGTTGAGTCCACCACCTTCCTGGGAAACCTATTTCCATGGCTGGCCACCCTAACAGTGAAAAAGTCTTTTTCAGGTATCTAATCTGATTCTCTGATCTTAGCTTAAGACCATAAGGTACCTTACTATCTGACAAGAGCATATCTGGTTGGAAATTATTAATCTTCAGCTTATACACATTTATTGAGGACTTTAAGAGGATTCTGCCTACAAAAAAATCACTTCTTAAAGGAAAGCATTTGTGTCTTTCTAAAATGTTGAAAGGTGATACTGTTAGGATGTGATGATTAACCTTTCCAGAGCAACCTACTATTTGGAATATTTTTGCAGAATGTGTAAGAGTCATTACATCAATAGATTCTCCTATATTTAGTTTGTGAATACCAAAGGAAAGCAACTAAATTCATGTTCCCCACATGAATGTAAAATACCACAAATGCTATACCATTTTTCCCTCCCTTCTTTCAGTGCTTTCCTGGAGTTCTTTTCTTAAGCTTCTCCAATATCAATGACATAATTTAGGCCTTGAAAGATGTTCCAGAGAGGAAATCTTGCTTATCCTTGTTTTGAAGTAAGCAAGTTATGAACTCCAGCCCATGATAAAAGGATACTTTGAGCATTTTATATAATTATAGTTTCATGACAAAATAATGAAAGTCCTTGGGACTTAAGGACTTCAGTTGAGTCATCAGATGTTTGAATCTCCCCAGTCTCACCTTCCACACATAAATAATTATATGTATGTATGTATCTATTAATATAGATATGGATATAGTTATGGATATGTATCTAACATGGATCCATAGAAACAGAGAATAATAGAAAGATTTGGGTTGGAAGGGACATTAAAGATCTTCTAGTTCCAACCTCCCTGCCATAAGCTGGGAACCCCCATCCAGCCTGCTATTGGTCTTTATTCTTAGTACTGGCGCAGCCTTAGTCTTTCAGATTCAAACATATTCAGAGCATATTGCTGATTCAGCAAGCTATTGAAAAATCAAATAACTTCAAGCATGAGATCCATACATTTTAATGTGAGTTCAAACTGAAACGGAGGTCCAAGTAGGATCAGCTACAAGAACGCAGATCCCTATAAACACTTTATTCCTTTCAGCTCAGTCTAAACCCCTGTAAGCATATCTACAACAGGCATCCTCTTTGGAATTTCTAGTACTCCGCATGATTGGAATTGGAAAATGAAAAGCCCTCCACTGCTCTGCTCACAGGTGTAACTCTGACTATAAAACATGAGACCCAACCTCGGTCCAGATTTATGTAAGAGGTACATAAGCAGAGAAATATGCAGTGTAAAGCAACAGTTCAGTTCTAAAAACACACAGCTGCATTACCTATCCTTACACAGCAGGACAGGTTCCTTTTCCAGGTTGCCTTTTTGTATACTCAAAATGTATGCAGCTACTGCATATATAAACTGTGCAACATTCCCATGGTCTCTGGGCATCTCAGGAAAAGCTTTTCAGAGAGAATGTGAAACAGAAGGATATTACAGGAATTCAAGCAATAGATTTGCCATCTCAGCAATCCTATGGGACAGGTGGTCACTTTTAAAGAGTGATCCAGCATTCTATCCCAGCTCAGTGTCAGAATACCAGTGATTGAGATGATCATCACACCAGGTAGTGGATTATTTGAAAGTTCTAGAGAAATGGGAACTGAAAATATAAAATGCAATTATCCATTTCTTCTGAATCGCAGAACAGCTGAGGATGGAAGGGACCTCTGGAGATGACTTGGTCCAACCTCTTGCTCAAGAAGGGCCATCTAGAGTCCAGGACCATGACTAGACAGCTTTTGAGTATCTTCAAGGAGGTAAATCCCACAACCTCTCTGGGCAGCCTATGCACAGTCACCCTCACAGTAAAAACATGTTTCCTGATGTTCACTTTAACTCCTTTGCACTTCAGTTTGTATCCATTGCCTCTGGTCCTGTCACTGAGCACCACTGAAAAGAGCCTGGCTTCATCCTTTTAACACCCTCTCTTTGGGTACTCATGCGCACTGATCAGATCCCCACTTGAGCCTTCCCTCCTCCAAACAGAACAGTCCCGTTGCAGTCTTTTCGCATACGCTGCAGTCCTTTAATCATCTTAGCAGCCCTTCAACTGAACTCTCTGTGTTATGTCCATGTCCCTCTTGTACTGAGGAGTCCAGAATGACCCAGCGTTCCAAGTGTGGCCTCACCAGTGCTGAGTAGTCCCTTTGGTTGCAGGACATATTGTTGGCTCATGCTCAACTTGGTGTCCACAAGGACCTGCAGGTCCTTTTCTGCAAATCTGCTTTCCAGCAGGTTGGTCCCCAGTATAAAACTGGTGCATGGGATTATTTTTCCCCATGTGTGGGACTTCACACTTCCCCTTGTTAAACTTCATAATGTTCCCGTCAGACCATTTCTCCAGTATGTCAAACTTCACCTGACTGGCAGTACAACCTTCTCATATACCAGCCACTCCTCCCAAGTTTGTATCATCGGCAAACTTTCTGACGTACGCTCTGTCCTATCATTCAGAAGATTAATGAAGATATTGAACAGAATTGGATCCAGTACTGACTGCTGGGATACACTGCTAGTTAGGGGCCTCCGGTCAGACTTCGTACCACTGAACACCACCCTCTGGTTCTGGTTGTTCAGCCGGTTTTCAACCCACCTCAGTAGATACTTACAGAAACCTTTCTTGTTGCTCTTGACATCCCGTACCAAGTTCAGCTCTAAGTGTGCTTTGGCTTTCCTAACCATGTCTCTGCATGCCCAGGCTATTTCTACACTCCTCCCATGTTACCTGCTTCCACCTTCTGCATGCTCCTTTTTAATGACTGAATTTTGCCAGGAGCTCCTTGTTCAACCTCACAGGTCTCTTGGGGTTTTTGCCTGACTTCCTGCATGCTGGGACTTCTCTTGAATGGAGGTGATCCTTGAATACTATCCAGGTTTTCTGAACCCCTCTTCCCTCCAGAGCCCTTTACTGGGGACTTTTCCATGCAGATTCGTTAAGACGTTACAGTCTGTTCTGAAGTCTAGGGCTGTGAACTTGCTTTTTACCTTGTTCCCTCTTCTCAGGTTCCTGAACTGCACCATCTCATCACAATAATCAAGGCTTCATTTGACCTTCACTCCACTGAGGCCTTCCTCGTTTTTGTGTTAGAGCTCCAGTAGAACACCTCTCCTCACTGACTCTTGTGTTATCATTAATGCTCTTAAGTAACCTGCTGGATTGCTTATGCCTTGCTCCTCTAGGAGGTATCAGAGGATTGAAGTACCCATGAGGATCAGGGTCTGGAGGAGGAGGCTGCTTCTGTCTGTCTGTACAGGGTCTCATCTGCTTGTTCTTCTTGGTCAGGCAGCCCATAGGAGACGCTTGGTACCAAGTCACCACTGTAAGTCTGCTCTTTAATCGTTACCATAAGCTCTCATCATTCATCCTTGTGCAGAGCTCCATGTACTTCAGTTGCTCTCTCCTTTTCTTCCTGTCTGTATTCCTCCACTGCAGCATTCCAGTCCACCTACTACATCTCTGGAATCCCAGCAAAATCCTACCCCTGAAGCTGCACACAGACTCCTAACTCCTCATGTTTATGTCCCACGTTGTGTGCTTAAGTATGCAGGCACTTTGGAGAGACTTTCTCATGTACATGCAAATTCTTGAGGTGACCCCAGCTGAGTCCTATTTTATTCATTTTGTGTTTCTCCTTGTTCACATCACCCCAGGCACTTTGCTTGTCAGCCTGTGCATCGCTCCCTCAGAGCTGCAGTAACTTTCTCCCTTGTGGCTCCTGGTTCAAAGCCCTCTTTACCAGGTCAGCCATTCTGCAGCCAAGATACCTGTGCAAAGATATCACTGTGCATGTCACCTCAGGTTGATCT